GTTAATAGATCTCTTTTATGGGACAAACTATCCCAATGGGGCATTGACCCTCGTCTACTTTTTCTGCTTAGGCGTCTCCATTCTTCAAACTCATGCCAGATCCGCTTTCCAAACTCCAATATACTATCTGATAGGTTTCAAGTTAATAGTGGTGTCCGTGAAGGGTGCATATTAGCCCCCTTACTGTTTAACCTGTTCTTAGCAGATCTTCCCCCTTTCTTATCTAAAGCTGCCAACCCTTCCCCCTCTCTTAATGGTGCCCCTCTTTCAGTTCTCCTTTACGCAGACGATGCAGTCCTGCTTTCTCTTTCCAAAGCCGGCTTGCGTCTCCTTTTAGCCAAATTCCAAGACTACTGTTCCGTCAACGATCTTTGTATAAATTCCTCCAAAACAAAAATAGTTGTTTTTTCTAAATCCAGCCTTCTGTCCACTTGGACAGTTGGTACACATTCCTACCAGCAAGTGCCAACATTTAAATACCTTGGGCTCACTTTCCATCACAAACTAAACTGGAGCCCACATAAAAAATTGGTTATCTCTACATCAACTACCCAACTCAATGCAATTTCAAAATTCCATTATCTTTCGGGCAACCAATTTGTTCCAGCAGCCCTGCATATTTTTCAGTGTAAACTTCTATCCCACCTTTTTTATGGGGTGCCCATCTGGATAGAGGCTGTAAATCATGACATTGATTCCATTGCTGCTGTTTTCCTTAGAAAGATCTTAGGTGTTCCCAATATGATCCGCCTCTCCACCATGGTACTTGAATTGGGAACCCACCTTCTGTCTACTCTTGCCTGGGTCACCACCTTCAAATACTGGCTCCGCATTCATCTTCATTCTAACCCCAATTCTCTCCTTTTTGATCTTCTTAGCGATTCCTACACATCGAACTGGTTCCAACTGATCGATTCTAAACTTCTTTCCTTAGGACTGAACCTAGAATCCCTCTTCGATGTTGGATTACAACAGTAGAATCTTCATCTAGGTAACTGCATTCTGAGCTGCCTGGCAAAGAAGTAGCCAGAATTCTCTTGCATAATTATGCAAACAGTGTAAGCTTTGGAGGCAGATTGCCCCGAGCTAAGAAATCACCGATTTCCATGCTGAGTTGGGCAACAGGGTATGCAACAAATAACACCTAATTTCTTAAAGTTGGGAAATTTATCTCCAAAAGTTAATTAAGTAAGACAATTTGGGCAACTATTTCATGCTTCCAGTACCTATGATGGTTGGAAACCTGTTTAGTAAAATGCAAAAACCGAAAAAATATCCAGATCTCTGAGAGGAAATCGGTGCCATGCCATTTTGGAGGAAATGTATTCCCTTTCCCATTTGTTGAAATGCTGTTATTTATTTATTTATTTACAATGTTTTTAGCCGCACCATTACCAGTGCCCAGAGCCATTTCCTTAGGTCTGACAGTGAATCTGAGAAAACTTGGTGCTCTTTTCTATTCAAGGAATAAGTACACCGTTTACTTTTTTAAACTTCGTTTTAAATTTGCTGTCCCTCCCACAGCTGACTTGACCCTGGACCCAGAAACAGCCCATCCACGACTCATCCTTTCCTCAGACTATCGGAGTGCCCGACTCGGAGATCGCTGGCGGGAGCTTCCTGATAACCCAAAACGCTTCGACTCCGACTATTGTGTGTTGGCTCTTCAGGGTTTCAACCAAGGCCGCCATTACTGGGAAGTGGAGGTTGGAGGCCGACGGGGGTGGGCAGTGGGGGCTGCCCGCGAATCAGCTCGACGTAAAGAAAAGGCTAACGCTGGAGGTCCCCACCAGAAACGGGAGATCTGGTGCGTGGGGACCAATGGCAAGAAGTACCAGGCACTGACCACCACCGAGCAGACATCTCTGCCTCCGTGTGAGAAACTCCGGCGTTTTTGTGTCTACCTGGACTATGAACGGGGCCAGCTGGCCTTCTATAATGCTGAGAATATGGCCCACATCCACACTTTCAATGCCTCATTCCGTGAGCGCATCTTTCCCTTCTTCCGTATTCTTTCTAAGGGGACCCGCATCAAAATCTGCAATTGATACCATCACTGCTGTTGTCATTGCATGTAGCTGGATCTCTTCTCCTCTCCCTGCAAGGCCTCCATCTCACAAGTCTTCTTAACCTAACCCGTTGTCCCACCTGAGAGATCCTGGCTCCTCATCACTCTTGGACTTTGATGGATAACTTACCTTGGATTCATTTTGGCGGGGATTCTCCTCCTCTTCTGTGGATCCATTATTGCACAAATTTCCTTTTCTGGTGGTTTATGAGACCATGGATCGAATTAAAAAAAATTCTTTTTTGTGGTTCAGGTCCATGCTAGTAACATTCTCTGTCTCTTCCCCTTTGGAATCCTGCTAGAAGCTGGCTGCATCGCTCTTTCTGTCTCCCGAAAGACGTCTTACTCCTGGATCTCTCTGAGAAGGGATGTGGGCTAATATTTATTCTGGGTACATGATTCCTGGCTGATGCTTGGAAGGATCTACCATGGTGCAGGGAAAGGGCAGAACAGTCTGCAGCTAGCTTTGATGTTCCAGAATTATTCAAATTTATTGTCAGGCTCTCAAATTTCAGAAACTCCTGAGAATGCCTGTTGATCTTAGCTTATTTATGAGGTCCGGACCAGATTTTTAGTCCTGACATATTCTTGGAGTTGAAACCAGGCCATGCTGTGAAATCACAAGCTTATTTCCAGCCTTGTTAAGCAATCTTATGCTCTACGTCTTGGTGGAGGTCACCATCTAAATACAGAAATAGCATAGCTGGTGATCATTTTATCTCACGTATTTCTTCTTTACTAACTACAGATTTTTTAAAGAAAAACATAGAGCCACTAATTTTGTCCCACTGCTTTGTATATGGTTTAATGTAATGTCCCAGCTGCTTGTCTCCCATTCTTTGATGTTATCCCTGTTGGTTTTTTACCAAAGGGAGGTATTTATTAACTCTCATAGTGTGATGTACAAGCAATTTTTGGTCAGTGGCAGGGACAAATGACGTGATGCGCACTGATGCCATTGGAGGGCCAGGGCTCTAAGGATGATGTCAACCCCACCAGAACCTTTGGTGTTAGGACTGTATCACAGCTGCCTTGCCTGCTCTCTCCATCCCCAAGGGTTTAGATAACTTATTTTAAGATGCTGTCACTTCATAAGACTTGCAGTGCAGAATCTTTCTCTTGCATCCTGCAAATGACCAGAGGCTTTAGCTGTGCCAGCTGTGGTTTTGGATTCTTTTTGGCATTACAGAGCTTTTGAACTATTTTTTGCTAAAAAAGAGAGAAGACTTAAAATGGAGATCTAGTTTTTTGGGAAAAGTTGACTGAATGAATAACTAACTAAATAAATAAGCAATTCTACAACTTATGTCTTTTGTCTTTTTGATATGTTTAGACATTGAAAAGAGATAGCCTGGGGATTTAGTCAAGATGTGGTTCATGCTTCCCATCAAACTTTGTATACAAAAACCAGAGGCAGTGGCCTTCTGAGCCAGAATGTGTGCAGGATTATCTGTGGTGGGAGAAGTGACTTTAGTGTACAGTGGTGCCTTGCATTGTGACGTTAATTCGTTCCGCAAAAATTGCTGCAGAACGAATAAAAAACTAGAGGAAGTGGCCTTCTGCTGAGCCAGAATGTGTGCAGGACTATCTGTGGTGGGAGGAATGACTTTAGTGTACAGTGGTGCCTTGCAGTGTGACATTAATTTGTTCCGCAAAAATCGCTGCAGAACGAAAACGTCGCAATGCGAAATAAAAAAGCCCATAGAAACGCACTAAAACGCGCTTAATGAGAGGGCTTAAAACTCACCGTTCAGCAAAGATCCTCCATAGCGCGGCCATTTCTGGTGCCTCTTAAGCGAGGAATCTGTCCCAGAAAACAGCGGGCGGCCATGTTTTGTTCCCGGTGGCCATTTTGAAACCGCCGATCAGCTGGCCGAAAATCATCACTATGCGAGGCACCACTGTATTGGCCTTATTTTGCCTTCCCAGGACCTCCTGTGGGCCATATAAACCGCACAAGTGACTAGAAATCTTTAAAGCCAAGTAAGATAACATGGATCAACATGAATTTGACCCAACTCCGGGAGGCAGTGGAAGACAGGAGGGCCTGGCGTGCTCTGGTCCATGGTGGTCACGAAGAGTCAGATAGAACTTAATGACTAAACAACAGCAACAACAAAGATACATGGAAAGGGGCAGTATTAAAAGTACAACAAATTATATAAACAACAGCGACAAGAAAGATATATGGAGAGGGGCAGTATTAAAAGTACAACAAATTATAAGATTTTAAAACTGTAGTTAAAATCCTCTTGAACTTGGCGTAGCATCAAGTTACATTGAGGGAAGTTGAGAATTGTGTCCAGGCAGTCCTGATTTGAGAGTGACTGCAACTAACCTGTGGAACTGCTTCCTAGATAGGACTTCCGTGTAAATTTCACAGCCCCTTGCACAATTTCTGAGTCATGCAGGTGCTGGTATGCAACAGGATTTTGATCAATTGATCATGAAAATACACTAAATTATACCCTTTTAAGCCAGTTTAAAAACACACTAGAAATGATGAGTCTCCCATTAAGCCCCCTTCCTTAGCAGCCATTTTGATATTAAAAACTTATCTGAAAAGAGTATTTTTCTACAGGTGGAAGGGAGGGCTGTGTCCTGGTCTCATGTGGGAGTTTCACCGTCTGAAAGTAGCCAACAACAACAAAAATCCTTTTTCCTAGGTCCACCCCAAGCCTGCCTGTGAGGGCCGTGGGAACCAGAGAAAGCCCTCCCCTGAAGGTGTTAAAACCTAGGAGGCTGCATCCATTAAAAGGCAGAAGTAACAGAGTTGGAGAGTTTGTGGTGGGGAAGAAAGGGGGCACTCTGCCCATTAGTCTTTGCCACGGTCATGCGTAACAAGCAACACCAGTGGCCTCTGTAATTTTGGAGCAGCACCATTGCCAACCAAAGGGATAATGATCAGGAGCACCATAGAAATCTCAATCCCCACCCCCCACCCCCTTTTTTTTGCTGTGCCCATGACCAGCTCCCCACTGCATGGGGGGTGTAGTGCTCTGCTTTAACTTGTCTCGGGGAAAGGATGTAAGGAGTGATGCAAGAGAGGGAGGGTAAAAGGGGATGTGTGTACATGGGTACCTTTGAGAGACTCCCATCTGAAAAGCTTGTAAGTGGCCACTGGCAATAGTGCGGCTAAAAAATATTGTAAATAAATAAGAGAGGGAGGGTAAAAGGGTGTGTGTGTACATGGGTACCTTTGAGAGACTCCCATCTGAAAAGCTACAGAGTACAGGGAGCACATCCAGAAAGGATGCAAGACAGGACCGAGGTTTGGTTTCATTTCCAGCTGATTTCTAAAATAATTTCCCTGAGGGAGGGTAAAAGGGTGTGTGTGTACATGGGTACCTTTGAGAGACTCCCATCTGAAAAGCTACAGAGTACAGGGAGCACATCCAGAAAGGATGCAAGACAGGACCGAGGTTTGGTTTCATTTCCAGCTGATTTCTAAAATAATTTCCCCTGTTTGAAATTACCTCTCCCAATAGACACTCTCCATCTAACTTATTTATTTATTTATTTATTTAATGTCCCGCCTATCTAGTTGTTTGAAATTACCTTGCCCAATAGACACTCTCCATCTAACTTATGTTTATTTCCATTATCTGTGCTTTGAACTTTGTCCTAAGAGGTTTTTTGGGGAAAAGGGCACCGGTTGGCAAATATTGGTTTTCCCCTCCCCCATTCTCAACCCTCTGCTCTGGAAAGGAAAATGGGTTAAGGGTTTATCTTAATCACCAGGTTCCCCTTGCTAGTCCCAGAAATGTGTGTGTGCGCGCACAGGGGGCACAGGCCAAATATTGGGCTTCCCTTCCCTCAAGTGGAAAATATCTGTTCTGCTCCCTCACATTTTCTGATAGATTACTATGTTTTAACCGTAAAGTTGGCAAATATTAGTTTTCTCCTCCCCCATTCTCAACCTTCTGCTCTGGAAAGGAAAATGGGTTAAGAGTCTATCTTAATCACCAGGTTCCCCTTGCTAGTCCTAGAAATGTGTGTGCGCTCGCAGGCCAAATATTGGGCTTCCCTTCCCTCAAATGGAAAATATCTGTTCTGCTCCCTCACATTCTCTGATAGATTACTGTTTTAACCGTAAGGATCCTTTGCGCAAACCTTCTGCCCCTTGAAAGCCCGCTTAATCACCCCCCTTGCTAGTCCTAGAAATGTGTGTGCGCTCGCAGGCCAAATATTGGGCTTCCCTTCCCTCAAATGGAAAATATCTGTTCTGCTCCCTCACATTCTCTGATAGATTACTGTTTTAACCGTAAGGATCCTTTGCGCAAACCTTCTGCCCCTTGAAAGCCCGGGGAGTGATCTCCCGGCTGCCCCTTCTGATGTCCACAGATGGGGCTCCCGGCCATTTGAGGCTCAGGCTTCATACTGTGCTTCTCCTAACACGACTGTCTTAAATGGAAAATATCTGTTCTGCTCCCTCACATTCTCTGATAGATTACTGTTTTAACCGTAAGGATCCTTTGCGCAAACCTTCTGCCCCTTGAAAGCCCGGGGAGTGATCTCCCGGCTGCCCCTTCTGATGTCCACAGATGGGGCTCCCGGCCATTTGAGGCTCAGGCTTCATACTGTGCTTCTCCTAACACGACTGTCTTCAGGAACTTCCATTAGTTCTGCTCCCTCACATTCTCTGATAGATTACTGTTTTAACCGTAAGGATCCTTTGCGCAAACCTTCTGCCCCTTGAAAGCCCGGGGAGTGATCTCCCGGCTGCCCCTTCTGATGTCCACAGATGGGGCTCCCGGCCATTTGAGGCTCAGGCTTCATACTGTGCTTCTCCTAACACGACTGTCTTCAGGAACTTCCATTAGAAAAGAAAAGAAATAACAGGATGTGTTGGAGACATACTTTTATTACTTCTGATGAAGAGGAGCATACAGCAAAAAAATGCCCTGGAGCAGGGGTCTCAAACATGCGGCCCATGGGCCATTTGCAGCCCTCCGAATGAGTTTGTGACCCCCGCCTTGCCTGCCCCCCCAGCGTCCACGCATCCTCTGCTGTCAAGAGTCAGAAAAAGCCTCGCCTCGCTCGCCGGCTCTCTCCCTCTTGGACCCTCCGTCCGGATCTGCTGCCTGCCAGCCAGCCCGCCTGTCTGCCGGCTGGCAGGCTGCAGTTCCGGATGGAGGGGGCAAGAGGCGTTGTCTTGGGAGAGAGCCGGCGAGCAAGTCTATAGAGTACCTCTAAGCCACCAACAGCAGCTGCCGCCACTGCCGCCTCTTCTAGGGAAGCGGCTCTCTTTCTCTTTCTGCACCCCCAGCACCAGCCTGGCCAGCGGCCGCCTCAGCACCTGGTGGTGCTTCCTCCTCCTCCTCCTCCTGCTTCAGCCACCTCAGCTCTGGAGGCTGCCTGAGCTCGTCTCGCAAAGTTTGCTCCTCTGTCGTGGTGGGGGTAGCTGCTGCTGCTGCTGAGTGCGCCTTTTTGAGGGGGGCCCTCAGAGGAAGTTTGCCGGACCTCCGTGTGTTTGTGTGTGTGCACGCACGCACCTGTGGGGAGGCCCGCCCCGTTCTGTTTAATTTCGTGGGTACCGGTGGGAGCTTTTCTCCTTTGGGAAGGCGAATTCTGTGAGGGTTTTTGTTTAAATTTTATGTCGTGCCCTCCTCCCCCTGGCTAGGCGGTCGCCGGCTCTTCCTCCCTTCTCTGCTTCTTCGTCCTGCTGCTGCTGCTGGTGAAGAAGGAGCCAGAGGGGGTCATAGCTGGGCGATGAGGGCTTGCGTGTCCACTCCTCCTCCTGGGCGGCTTCCTTGGGCTCTTGCTCCGCTTGGCGGGAAATCTGATGCGGCCCAGCCTCACCCAGACTCTCCCTCCAGTGGCCCCCAGGTAAATTGAGTTTGAGACCCCTGCCCTGGAGGCATGTTCGGGGGCACAGTTGAGACCCTGCCTTTCAGTCTTGGGCTGCCGAGAGCCAACCCACTCCTGCCTGTCTGCTTCCCAAAAGCAGAAAGTCCGAGCTCCAGCTATATTTCCTGTGGAACTCCCAGTCACTGTGTGTTTTTAAAAAAGA